AGTTAGCGGCTCTGTAGGTAAATATCAACTAAATCAAACAGTAATATTTGCGTTACTATATATTAACTTTCTAAATGCAGTATGCATTTACAAGTACCATGCCTCCTTTAGATGACACAGGCTACCTGGAAGTCTGAGAGCAGTGGGTTCAGAGTGGATTCACAGGAAGTAAGCAGACGGCCCAGATGGTGCAGACACAAACCCTCCTGCTCCCTGATGGCCCACTGGCCACTGCACACAAACACCTCTTACTGCCTGCCTGTTCTAGCTGAGGCTGCTCTTTTCACTACAGTATGATACAATGCTTTTGGATTTCTGCAGCAAAGACCATGTTTGTTTTTTGAATGAAGGAAACAGGGATTCAGTCTGTACTTTAAAAAAGGAGGTAGAGTCAGAAAGATATACACCATAATTAACACATTTCCTTACATTGATAAATAAAGTTGTATTGTATGTTATTTCACTGCTAAATGGGTAAATTCAAGTTGCAACTCACTTTTAGTTAAAATGACCAAAATGTAGAGCTGCCTTGATTGATGTTATGTTGATTGCCTTGACGAGCCAATCAACATAAAGTAATTCCAAACTATTTAAAAAAGGAATTCATTGTTAAAAATGGCAGAAATTACAGTTTTTAAATGTATGAAATATTTTTCTGTTGTATGTCATTTTAAACTGAATAGTTTTGGGTTCAGACACGAGAAAATGTGACATTTCAAGAGGTGATGATACCTAGCTATACTTGGAAAGATAAGATGGACATTTTTCCCTACTTTTGGTCACTTTTATAGACCCAATCATTTAAGACAGTAACCCATAGCAGGGATTCCCCTATTGCATCTCTGAAACACTGTAAAGGTTTGTTAAAAAGTGAAGAATACTTCCTGGTATTTAGACAGCAAACGTAGCCAATGACACTGTGCCCTTTTGTTTTGCATGGATTAGTCATTTTCTGTGAAACTAATTGCGAAATTATGAAAAAAAAAATGTTGATGACATTGTGTGATAGTTTACAGAATCCAAATCACACTGCCAATAAAATTAAGAATTTGCTTTAAGACATCGCGGCGGAGGCGGAATCACAGGTCGGTAGACGGCAAACAGCAGCCAGATATATACCGCCTGGGTAATGATTTATGTTTGAAACATCAGCCGTACTAGTCAGTGCTAAAAATCGGAGCCATCAACAAAAAAACTTGCCAGGTTGATTTGGGAGAGAGAGATCAGATCTAACTAACAGTTCCAAAGTTAAATTAGAGTTTCGCTATGATTTTTTTAAAAGACCACGAGGACTGAAATGAATATCAACAAGAACAACAAAACAGGGACAGCTGACAGAAATGGTTGGCGAACTTAACTGCAAATGCACACACATCAAGCAATTGTTAAGCTGCAGTGTTTCGTAACAGTACTGTAGATGCAATATTGCATTTGTACATTTTGAAGCAAAGCATAAATTCTTTCTCCTACAAAACAAGTATTTGCACTATTTGGCAAATGTTGTAGCACTACTTGCTGACAAGTGGATGTGAACATTCTCAACTTGACCATGGACCTCACAGCATCTTGGTGTGGGTGGGATGGATCGCCAAACAAATAGTTCACTGCAAATACTGAGGGTTGTAAGAACAGTTGAAAGCAATGTCAGTAAAATAGGAACATATTGTTTTTTTTCAACGATAAGCAACTAATTGTATTTAAGAAAGCCTTTCCTAGAGAAAATACAGGCGTTGATCCAAGATAGAGGAATAAAACAGCAGCAATGATGTGTTTATGGCTCTGACAGGGTGCAGAATGTCTTTTCTCGACAGGCCACTCCCTCTCTGTAGAGAACAGTCCTGTATGCTGGCTCATAACAACTCAGCAGTTTATTTATAACATCCCACAGTGAGTATGCTCATGAGAATATCTTCTCACGCGGCTGCACGCACCTGTCCTAAAATACATGACTACAGTGCTGTGTGACCAGCCAGCTGGGTACCAACATTACGTAGTGGGATATCAACACGAACACTGGCTCTGACTGTATGCCTGGCTGGCAGGTTAAAATTAAACTTCAGTTCTTTTTTATTGACAAATTCCTTTTGTCCAAACAGAAATCATTAGGACAGAGAATTAAAAAAAGAACTTGCAAAGTTGTGAGAAAGAAAAAGGAGCTAGCCTCTTCAAAGAGAGATGAAAGTGCTGTACCATGAAAGCTGAGGGGTTGGAGGGAGGCGGCAAGGAGGGGGAAAATGGGGAGAATCCCTCAGTTTTCTCAGCTGGGCCAGCAATGGGGTGAGGTGAGCTGTGGGGGGATGGAAGGAAATAAGGGGGGGGGCTAAGGCAGGCTGGGTGACCTGGGCCTTTGTTGGCAGATGGTGGGAAGCGCCACCTTGGCCTCTCGCTCTGAATGCTAAGCAGCACTGCCATTGTTTGACAAGTGCAGCAGCAGACGCATGCGCTGGGTGTTTCTCTGGCAACCAGGAACAGAAACAACCCCCCCCCCCCCAGCACTGCACACATACAAGCCCTTTCCACCCTGCTTCTCTGGACCCCTGTGCATCTCAGGACTCCTCATACACCACACGCCATCCTCCAAGTGGGAATTCCTATACATTAGGAGCCCAGGCCAGACAGAGCGTAACATGCTCCCACAGTCCTGACCTCTGGTGTCTGGAGAGAGTGAGGAGTCAGACAAGTGGCAACACTCAGAGGGGCTGTTTTCATGTATGACAAGAAAGTCAAATGCAGTGCTGTCTAAAACAGGATCCAGGGACTATCATAGGGACATGGAAATGACATTGAAGCCCCAGTACAAGGCATACATTCTTGCAACTTTATCTAAAAAAATAAAATCTTTCTGGTAACTCCTACCTCTGCACAGATAGTAACATAATGAAAAATGCAATCATACTCTTTTTTTATATAGTTAATGGCATTTAACAATTTAACATTTAATAAAATTCAACAGCGCCCCAAAGTCTCGCTCTGCTAAGCAGCACTGCTATTGACCATAGAAACAATACCTATTCAAAAACAAGACTAATATTGATTCACTTTGTAGAAAAGGTATGTATATGCATGGCTGTTGCATTGAGTTAAATTAAAAGTACATTAGCTAGGTGAACCTTATTAGTTGTAGCCATGTGTATTTGCCTCATTCCCCCATATGCATACATGTGGGGATGTAATGTCATATTCACCAAATATTGGACATTTTAGATTTCATTTATATTGTGGTCATGAATTATGATACAACTCCCAAACAATGTATTCTGTCAAATTTAGTAAAGAGGACGGACTAATTAATCTCTTAATCACATTTTAAGAAATATAGCAATAATTGATGTAACCATCTTATTCCACTATATGGCTGTCTAATGCCGTCTACCATAGGGTTGCCCTGTTCATTTAACAGCAACAGTTACTATTTCATTAGTAGATCAATAGCCAGCACTTCATCCAGACGTCAGTTATTCCATAATGTTGATAACCAATATAAGGCTGATCACTTTAGTCAATGTGAAAGTAAAGCTTAGCAAGAGTGAACAAACCAAAAAGCCATATTAAAAATGTTTGTGATTTCTCTTCTTTAAAAAAGGAGCATTTCATTTTTTCTAATGTTTATGTATTTCTATACCAGCCTAACAATGCATCCATTGAGAAAATGAAGAGGGTTCAATTATGTACTCAACTGGTAGGCACTTCACATCATACATCTAAAAGTAGGTTAAGCAAATTTCAGAAGTCTGGAGAGTCAAAAGAGGACACGGCACAACAAATAAAGAGACTATTATCTTCTGTGTTGCTCTTGAGTTGCTCAGCTAACCCACAAACAAATCAAAAACACACTTTAGGCAAGACAGTTCCATACTGCCACCTGCCATAACCAGCTACTTACTGCCCCTTGCATGTGTCAGAAACACAGGGCGGCTGTAATCCTGGGTGGCAGGAAATCAGGTTGAGACATCACAACCCAAAGCCAAAACCACAACAGAAGCTGTCAGATCACAAAAGACATCTCTCTGCCTCTGACAGGCAGGAGACGTCAACCTAATCCTCTTTCACTTGTGCCACCATACTGTAAATAAAACAGGAGGTGAGAACCACAGTGAGTGTATCACTATGTAAACTCAAAAGTAAAGGTGTATTTTGGGGTAATGACAGTGCAAACCCACGACACTGAAAGTCTGATTTACTGAATTACAGTTCATATTTGGAGACAGGTTTCTGGGATAACCCAATTGTATTACCTGATAATGTAAACAAACAGTAAATATCAAACTTTATGTCACTGTCAAGCTACTTTCTAACTGCTAATTTATACATGCTGTCATCATTAGAGCTCACCGGCCCAAACACAGACAGGCCTGGTTAGGTGCATAGGAGCACCTCTTTAAATGCTAAATTCATGTTAAATGTAAAGGGGGTGTAATTCCCACAAACCGTGCCTTATACAGGCTAACGTGAGCCCCCTGAAAAGAATGAAGCTGTACTGCTTACATTCACTGAGTTGTACAATTGCTAGCCATGGTGGCTACCATTAACTTAGCTGGCTGGCACGGTAACTAGGCTACCGCACCTTGCTAGCCAGCAACGGTAACTGAACAAAGCCGGTAACCGGTGTGGAAAGCCTTATAGCTTGCCGGTGATGGCTATTTTATATACCCATTAATGTCACTTAATCTATATTTGATTGTATCCCACTATATTCGAGTGACAGCTTTATTAAATCACACACGTAAGAAGAAACAATAGCATAGCGTGAACTCCCGAAATCCAAACTGACATTTCCGTTAGCTTTATTAATAACCGGCTTGATAAGCTAACGTTAGCATACCTAGCTAGCTAATTGTCCCCTCCCATCCCAGCTCCCTCCAAACGAAACCATCATCCCCGCATCAAACCTGTTATCTGCCGCTTATAAAATAAGCAGAGTGTGCGTGTTACTGTCTTAAAATAAGAGTGAAATGCACAAAATCACAAACAATATCCATGTTACCCAAGTGAAAGGATACTGAGGTGGTGGTACAGCACCGGGCTGAGGAGCTGTTGGGGCTCCCGGCGGCAGAGACACGGAGGTCAGGGTAGCCCGCAGTTGGCTCGACGGAGAGGGGCCACTTCCAGGTCCGCTAACTGCGACAGCGGCGGTTTTGGGGACCACTTTCGGTGGCAAACTCATCGCAAAAAAATCAACAAATAAAAACAATACCTCAATAAATACTGATACAAACAACGCCTAGCTTGCATACATTGAGCAAGCGTAGCAGATTCTTGAAGCAGGCCCCAAATCCCTTTAACGAACTGGGATAACGAAGCACGAATAGCAACACAAACGTATTTTTTTCATGGAAAGTCGCTGTTCGGATCAGCGGTGCTACTCATGGGGACGGTGGGAGGTTTAGCCTCCCTCGTCCGTCCGGAACCTCCGCGGATCCGGCTCGGTTCCTTTTCTTTCAAAAATAAATAATCGCCACAATCTTCTACCTCTGTTGGCGATCTACCTTTTCTTCTCGGCGCGTATTTTTTCTATCATTTTTTCCTCACAGAGATGAGAGACTTCGCCAACATGGCGTTGCGGCCGCTTCCAGCAGTCCGGGCAGGACAGATGATTCGGCAATTCTCGGCCAGCTACGGATTCGCTCGGCTAATCAACTGACCTACAATCAGATACAGATAGCAGGCATGGCTCATGTGTCCACAACGTTTTTGAAATACCTATTTTTTTCTTTTTTGATTTATCTTGTTGTTTTGCGTGTCTTCAATTTAGATGATACGATTATAGTAAAAACTATTTATAACAATATATAATTGATCATTGCTAAATAGCTCATTAAGAAGCAAAATAATAAATAAGTAATTTTAATCAAATCAACTTGCACTATTGTTTTAGCAATGTGCGTGTTTGCATGGACAAAATCCTTCATTATTCAGCTATTTACACAGTATAGTTTTTAACTGTAATCTGCACCAGCAGCAGGACTATAACATGGGTGTGTTATTAGCGCCATCTACCGTTCTTCTCGCTGCTTCGCATCTGCAGGTCAGCAAGACAATTCCTCATGAAATGTACTGCAATTTGTTATTTTAAGTGATCTGGGGCATTGGGTCCTAGTCTTTATTAATCTAGTATAACATCTCTGTACAACAACAAATGTGGATGTAAGCTCACGCAAAAAAACAAATGTGTGACACAAACGTTTTTTTAAAGATTGGTTTTACTATACAAAATAATTTGTGACAAACACTTAATCTTGAATAATTGTTAAGGACCATAAGTTCTGCAGGAAGAAAAGTAGTAACTGTTTTGCAGGAAATGTCTTAATTCCAAATAGCAGCAACGGAACACAATTTCATGTCAGCATCTCTATAAAATGTAACAGTTTGACCAGATTGTACACAAAATATTTGTAATTAAGCTTTAAAATGGTGTTACAGTTGCTGTAGTTTTACACAAATAATAACATTCTTAATTAACATTAAGAACTGTCCGTTTCATTAGATTAAAAATCTTGCAGGTCCCTGGTTCACTTTCATATAAAAAAAATTGTGAACATAAATAAAACACAATAAAAACAAATTGCAGAAGATCTAAGCACAGCGAAAAGTTACAGGAAAAAGAAACGTCCCTTTGCTTATTTATCACCACATGTGACAAACAAGCAGCTGACAACATTTGAGAGTGGTTCCCCCATTTTCTGTAACCATTTTTTGGATTTCCAGTGTTCAAAAAGCGCATTCATAGTTACATTTAATTCAGGGAAAGCTGCTTGCTTAAACCAACAGGTCTTTTGGAGAAGCACTGAAGATTGCAATCCTGCATGCAAAGCAGGCACATTCTGTCCTGATAAGGATCCTGATAAGCATTAAGTGGCAAGGCAGAAGGACTTTCAGTGGTTCTTGCGTTCCCTGTCAGTAGAGACTTTGACATTCCTTTCTCCCCAACGTCCATTTTCTCCTTGCTGATAAACATCACCAAAGCTCACACTTGTGTTTAGGGTTCATAGGAGCGTCTGCTTTGCAGCCAAAGTGCTTTGAGAATTCTTGTGAATTGGAGATGGTGCCGATGACTCTGAATCTTGATGGACTGTGAGGATCTGTGATGACGCCTTCATGTGAGCTTTCGGGTGTCCTGACAGAGCACCATACCTGCAGCAAAAATAAAGGACACAGAGACACACAATTAGGGATTCATGTTTCCGCCTAGCCCTTTAGAAAATAACATGGAGAATTGTAAGGAGATTTATAAAGAGTTTGGACTGAATTTATTCTGGTTGGGTTGAAGTTATTAATTTAAATATCTTGTCTACATTATTTATGTAGGCTTTTTTCACATTTATTTGCAAAGGAAGAAAGTTTGTTTGTGCTCATCTTGAATCCAAGTTGTACATAGGAGCAGTACAGGAGGCAATGTATACAAGTGTGAGGAGGAAACTTAAAACCTACAGAGGACAAACACTGAGATGGAAAGGGTGTTGATTTCTCTAAAACCCCATCAGATTAACCACAAATTGTTATTTGTAGAAGAGTTGTTATGTCTTAAAACGTGTCTGGAGAGTAGCGTTAAGAAATGTTGTAAAACCAGCAGTAATATTAGCACTATTGAGTTAAAGGAAATAATTTGAGGGACACAAACCTGTGCAAATCCTACAAAGAATAGCTGATCGTTCGTCATCCCAAGTGCAGGCAGCATGGCCTCCTCACCGTTCTTTTTGACCCAGTTCACATAAGCCTTTGAATAAAAAGAGATGATTCTGTTACTAGCATGCGGTCCCTGTTTTGCTTGTGTAAAAGTGTAAAATGATACACCAAGGGGGAAAAGAAGATCCATAGTGTTAACTCCCTCTGGTTTACATGTAGGCTGCTTTTGCTTCCATATGATTTGCTCCTCTGCTTCACAGCTTATGACCTTTCATTACATGGAAAGAATGTCTGCATGTGAAGAAGTAACCAGAGGCTGACAAGGCCACTCATAGCCACCTGTTGCATTTCCAGGCTTCGCTGTAAACCAGACAAGTTTCTTTTTCCAATACAGATGAATGATGTGACCCACAACGGCCTTGAATAATAAATTAATGCAGGGGATAAATATCGGATCTGTCTGGTAAGATTTCTGACCTTTTGAACATGCAATCTGACAATGTTGCTGTAGTAAACATAACAGCAGCGGTCTGACCTTAAAGGTGGGGTAGGTAAGTTTGAGAAACCGGCTCGAGATACACTTTTTGTTATATTCCATGGAATGCTCTTAACATCCCGATAGCAATGAATATCTTAAGTGCTTTGACAAAAAATCCATAAAAAAATGTCATCTGTGGAAGCCGTAATACTGTAAAAAGCACGACCAATCATTTTAGCCGGCCCGGCTAAAATAACTGGATGGCCTACCTGCCTGTCAGCCTTCCATCTGTGCACAAACTTATCTCGTGCCCTCATTGGTCATGTGCGCGTTCGCGTGTGTTGGAGGAGGGGCTCTGTAAGGAAGTGGCAGATTTCTTCCGGCCGTGTATTTTCAAATTCCAGAGCACTCGAGCTGGTTTCTCCAAAATTACCTTAGCATATCATTTTACATGATATGCTAAGGGGTACGGGACATTGCTACGCGGTTTACCAATCACAACATAGCCGGCCAGCTAACCAATCAGAGCAGACTGGGCTCTGGTTTCAGACAGAGGTTGAAAAGAGTTGCTGCAGCTCAGGCAGTATGAGACAAATAAAGATATTTTTTAACATTAAAGCATGTAAACATGTCACAGTAGATGAACACAAAATAGAATTATGAAACCTGGAAATAAGCATAATTGGGCCCCTTTAATCACGCTTCCTATTAGATATCAGACCTTGTAGGCGGCCTTGAGTCCACCGTTGTCAGCGATGTTCTCTCCCAGGGTGTGTCTTCCATTTAGAGGCTCTTTGTTGATGCTGTAATTTCCGTATTGCTCCACCATGCAATGAGTCTGCTTCTTGAAGGCCTCTACTGAGGAATTCTTCCACCAGGGACGCAGGTTTCCATCTTTGTCGTATTCCCTCCCTTTAAAAAAAAAAGAAGAAAAGTGTAAGGTATCACTGTATTCTCTGCCAAATCAAGCATACAGACATTGAAGGTTTTATTTGACATGTATTTAAATGTAACGAGTTCAAAATGGAAAGCCTTTCACCAACCTTGGTCATCAAAAGCATGAGTCAGTTCATGTCCCATGACGACGCCAATTCCCCCAAAGTTAAGAGCTCTGAAAAAGCGTAAAAAATATACCTTTATGACCCCCAATGACTACATTTCAATGTGTTTGTATGTCCCACAAAGATGGTTAAAGCAACTGTGTCTGAGGAAACATTTTTGACATTGTTCAATTTATTGCCAGTTAGATAAGTAGATTGATACCACTCTCATATCGGTTTGATCAATATGAAGCTGCAGCCAGAGGACAGCTGGCTTAGCAAAAAGACTGTAAACAAAATCCACACACCAGCACGACCAATTTATAATTATATCTTGTTTGTTTAATCTGTGTAAAAGAAAAAGTGAGTTCTTTCGATCCCCTTTTTTGCCGTTGCCCTCATCTCAGATCAGCAATTCAAATGGAATCAAATCAACAAATATTCAAAAAGAAATCAATGAAGTAAAACAGAATGGCAAATCAGTCTGATTACCATTTCTTATCTGCTGCACACCACAGGACACTCATGTTTAGTTATAAAAACAGCTGCTAAAGGCCATGTCCTTTGGAGAATGCTTTTTACTACTAGTATTGATTTAAACTTCACTGTTGTTTTAATACCATGTTTTTTGTATACTGCTTTTATGGTTCTGTGAATTAAAGACAGTGCTCCACCTTTTTTCTATACTATTCTAATAAAAATCCATCCAGCATGATTGTTTGAGCCTGAAATGCGATGCAGAAGACGTACTTAGGCCAGGAACGACTGTAAAACGGAGCCTGAAGGATTCCTGCAGGCAGAACCATCTCATTCTTCGTTGGGTTGTAATATGCATTCACGGTCGGAGGGGTCATGCTCCACCTGTTAAAGAAAAACAAGGAACACGCAGGACCAACATGTGAGGCTGACATCAAGGTCACAACAAATTCAGAATATTGATTCTTCCCTCGCTACTGTGCCGGGCTGACTGCAGATCAGTTTGAAATGCATGGGAAACCCTCGTCAGCCTAATTAGAGACAAGGCTCAGGTCAGCGGAGGGAAGTTGGTTGCCTGGGAACATTTGTGGATGGCAGCATTATTCTGCCGAGTCAGTATAATGGGAATGTGCCCCCAACGGAGCGTGCAGCCTCGTCTCTGGCCGAGCGGGGCTGGAGGGGGGGGGATGAGGGTAACCAGGGGCAACTCACTGGTTTCTGTTGGGAGTTTTCCTCAGCTGGTCCGCAGTCACTCGGGCTGAGAAGTTGTAGTACTGCATGACATTTTGGAAGTAGAGTTCATTCACCACCTCAAACTAAAAGAGAGGAATTAGAAGTGTAATTTGGTGTTTTAGTGAGACATTATGTGATGAACAAAAGTAACAGGATGATACAGTTCCACATTTACCTACATCATTGAACACTTTGTCCAGCTTTGTGGAGTTTATGATGAACTCTGGATATCCAACCATGTT